GTATTTCCTTCAAAAGACCATTTTATATTTGATGTTTGCCCTGAGAATTTGCAAACTTTATGTTTAACAAATATTTTTTCGATTAGCATAACATCCTTCTAATTCTGTGATTAGGATTTGAAGTTAGATCAACCTGATACAATGGAAATCTCTTGTCGCTGGTCCTAAGGAATCTAAGTGATCATTATTTGAAAAAGTCTCCACTTCAGTCCTCAAGGAGCACGCACCCACAACATAAACCTGTTGATAAAATGGCCACATTGGTATCTAAATTGCTGGTTCACTCCATCTCACTTTTCTGTCCTCTCGTCTGTATTACATTTTATCTGTTACTTTTCAGCATAATTATGTAAGAAACAATGATGGTCCCAGTCCTGAGACAACCTATCCAATGCTGTCCCACCACCCCACCTCACCTTACATTAGTTCCTCGATTAAGTGCCATTTTGTATATCTTCAAGCCAATCTCATAATCATTCCCAGGATTCACCCTAAATTCCGACAGTTTTGTATTCAATTAAGATGCATTTCAGGTGAAGCTTTAACAAAGGCCTTTGGAAGTCTAGGCAAACTGCATCCCTGGGCTTCCTATGGTTCACTCACGATGTAACTTCCTTTGTGAATTCAGTTTGTCTGCTGTTTACTGAGTTACTGTGTGGATTACCCTCGCCTTTACTTCCAATAATCCATTCCACTATTCTACCAGTAGTGCAGTAAGACTGAAAGCCAACAGTTTCTGTTTGTCCACCCTCTTTGACTGGGCATCACATTAGTAAGTTTCCAGTCTGCTGGTGTAATGTTCCAGTGACTATCACTTCCATCTTGAGGATCACTGCTGTCTTTGAAATCCCTCCCTTGGTCTGTCAGTGCTCTGGGATAAATATCATCTATCCTTGGAGATTTAGTCATCTCGAGCTCTTTAGACTTTTCATCTTGTCCTTCCAATGAAAGGATAGATTGACGGTCAACACTGTTCCAAATCACATTTGTTGTCTTAAAATAGTAAACTTGATTCTGATAATTTTGTTATTCCAAACAGTCCAATCATCATCATCGTTGATTAGAAATTGATTATCTTTCAGCCAGGTACTCCTGAAGATACTATACGTCACAAGTTAATGTTTTTTGAAAGGACCATGTTTGAATAAAGTTAACTTTTAATAACTAATGCTCCTCTGTTCTCTCCTCTTTCTTCCCTGAAGACTGCAGACCGAACTGTAAGGTAAGTTAGCAACCATTTTCATTTTCATTTTCATTTTATATTGTTATCATAGCTGCCTCATATTGGGCCAAGGGTTTTGCACTGTGGCTTTCAATGCCACACTCAAAACTATCCCATCACTTGTGGCCACTCCAAGTGAAGGCACCAGCTCGCACTGGAGTGTAAGCCTCATTCTGTATCAGCAGATTTGGTGTTCAACCTCCCAACAGCCGTGAGGGTGTGGTCTGGGCTGATATCTCAGTGCAGGACTTGGAGCATTGTTGGTGATGCTGCCTTTCTCAGAAGAGATGTTAAACTATAGGTCTGGCTGCCAATATTTGTTCCTCACCTAACCCCACAAATCTAGTTGCAAATCATTTGCCTGTATCTGTTAAATAAAAACTGAAAGAACCGCGGATGCTGTAAATCAGGAACAAAAACACAAGTTGCTGGAAAAGCTCAGCAGCTCCGGCAGCATCTAAGAAGAAAAACTCAGAAGTGAGGAAGGGGCACTGGACCCAAAACGTTAACTCTGATTTTTTCTTCACAGATGCTGCCAGACCTACTGAGGTTTTCCAGCAAGTTCTGTTTTTGCGCCTATATCTGTTGTTTGGGAAATTGGATAGAAAGGGATGGACACTTTTGTCAAAATTAATTCAGTGACTGTGTTCTGAATGGGCCCCGAGGATGTAGAAAGCTTTTGTTTGCCCGCTTGACTTTTGGACAAAACACATTTGTAATTAGGAATGTGACCCCATCGTCACATAGTTGAATGTCACTTTGTCCAATTTAAAAAGCCCTAATTGCCTCCTGGTCAGAGATGTGCTAACCTAATGGGCATCAATTCTTGAAACTTCCCTCTCCTTATAGTTCACCAGCCAGTGCCTTTCTTCACAATTCAGATCATGTTAATTTCTTCCCATTCACTTCATTAATCATTAAGACGTCATTGACTCAGTACAATTGCCTCTGTGTGTGGCATCCAGAAATATGTTAGTTATGTTAATTGTATTGTTAAGCTAAAGGATAAAGAAGTGAAGGTATTTTTTGATTAAGCATCTTGAGCTCAAATAAAAAAAAGGAGTGCATTTTTGGCTGTTGGTACCAAAAACTGGATTCCATCATCGCCCAACACTATTATTTATTTGATACGTTTCCTTTAGTAAAGTGTTGCATAGTTGCTTAATCCTGAGCAGAAACTCTGGTGTGGAGCACAGAAGCTGTGTGCTGTTGCTATGTAACATGGGGTCTCCGTACTTCAGTGTAATGCACAACTGGCTAGATGTGTTATGTTTCACTGGCTATTTGGAAATTGGCTGCAAAAGAACAGGGATTTATCTGATTTCTGTTTCTGTCCTTCCACAGTTTGTTCCGACTGAAGGTGACCGCGCATGCGTAAAAGTTCTTCGAGACATTGAACCTGGAGATGAGATCACCTGTTACTATGGTGACAGTTTCTTTGGTGAAAACAATGAGCTGTGCGAATGCTACACTTGTGAAAGGTAAGGGATAAAATAGTCAAAAACCTGAAACCAAAACAAAAGATGCCAGAGATTTTCAGGAGCTCAAGGCACTATCTCTGGAGAGAGAAACTCAAACACTTCAGGCCTTCTTTTAAGTAGGAATTTTAAAAAGTAAGCAAAGAGGTAGGATTTGAGCAAGAGGTAAGTGGGGCAAGGATGAAAAGAAGGTCTGTGATTGGATGAAAGACAAAAGAATTTGACTTCTAGGTCAGAAGGGAGTGGTGTTGGGGCAGGAGAAGAAACAAGAGATATGCCGAGTGCAGTTGTGCTCCTGACTGCTCATAAACTCAACTACTCCCCAACCTGGCCACCCTCCTAATCCACTGTTTGTGACAGTGACTTTTACCATTCGCTCTGTTTTATGTCAGCATCCGCTGATACATTTCTTCAATTCATGAGATTTAGCTGTCGCTGGCTAGACCAGCATTTTATTGCCCCTCCCTAATAGCCCTTGAAAACGGGGTGGTAAGCCACCGCCTCAAATCTCTGAGTCAGTTAGGAGTCGGTACATTCACAGTGCTGTTGGGGGCGTGAGTTCCAGGATTTTGACCCAATATCAAAAAGAATGAGATATAATTCCAAGTCAAGATCATTTGTGGTTTGGAGGGAAACTTGCAGGCAATGGTATTGCCATGCATCTGCTGTCCTTTATCCTTCTAGGTGGTAGAGCTTGTGGGTTTGGAAGGTGCTGTTGACGGAGCCCCACTGCCATACAGTAGTGCATCTCGTAAATGTACACTCTGCTGCTACTGTGTGCTAGAGGTAAAGAGAGTAAATGTTGAAGGTGTTAGGTGGGTGGCATTCAAGCTCGCTGCTTTGTCCTGGATAGTGTCAAACTTCTACACCAGCAACTACCAACTCCTTGGTGAGACAGTGTAAAATATGTCAGTGGTAAGAAGGAGAGAATGATCAGAAATTCATGAATGAAGATCCATTTTACTCCTTAAACTAAAAGGTTGATCTTTACTCTTTCCAGGCGAGGAGAAGGAGCCTTCAAGATGAAGAAGCGTGCCATTGAGATGGGCGCATTCTGCAAGTATGGACTGAGAGAGACTGACAGTCGCCTCAGTCGTATGAAACAGAAGGGCAAAGGACGTCGGCCCAAGGGAGCGCGCGTTGATTTATATCAGAAAACAGTGGAAAGAGCCTTGTGGCAGAGTGAGTACAGTTGCAGAAAAGAAAAGCTTGTACAGTAAAAATCGAGTTAGCTGGCACCCCACCAACAAGATGTTCCACCAACTGGAACTTCTGATATTGCACCAGTTGGATTTCAAGATTTAATGTTTCTTCTTAAATCAGACTAGCAATCAGCCTTGTTGCTGAATTTTACAAAGTTTCCAACGTTTGAATCACTTCTTTGTCTCTTCTGGTTACCAGAACTGGACATGGTCCTCAAGGTGTGGACTGACCATCATGTTATAAGGTGTCTACTAAGGACATTGGCACAGCCCAGGAGCAGGCTGCATGCCCCTCACTGCTGATCAAGCAGACCAAGAACAATGGTTATAAATTCCACAGGTAAATGGGGACCCTTCCCTAAGTATCTCCTACCCCATGTTTCAAATCAAATTGGTTGTTAGATAACACTGATACCAGGACTAGTGGAAATACTATAATTGTCACCTGTATCCTTGTGATATAGAGAGGGAAAAATAGCCCATTTAACTGCTATGCAGTGAATGTTACTGGATTGTGTGTGTTGATTGAAGTGGTACTAGCCTCACTTCACAGTTATGATACTGTCCGTGGTCTAATGGGCAGCCAATCCTCACAACCTTGCAGACGTAGGGAATGGATGTATAGATGAGATAACAGCAAGATCTTTGCAGAACTGGACAAAAACCATTGTGTTTGGAGCCTGTCTGCCTATTGCTGAGCGTACTTATTGAATTTGTGCTTTTGTTTTTAATTACAGCTTCAGCCAGAAGGCTCACCTTAAGTTCAAAGAGGGGCAAACGTGGAAAATGGAAAAGGCGGACTCCAAGTAGGGTCCACGCAAAGTCACTGCCTGTGCTTCAGTCAATGCCTTTGCAGCTGCAGAACGCTCAGGCTGATGAAGTGACAGACGTGGCAACCGATGCCGGCTCCGTGACTCATTTGCAGAATGGGAGCCAGACGGCTGATCAGGGAGGGGAGACTCCTTCGCAGAAAGGTGAGGCAGAAAGCCTTCACTGTGGATTTGGCTATTCCTCAACATTACAGCTTCAGCCCAGTGCTGGGCAAACTGACCCTGAAACACTTGTAACATTCCAGATGCCAGAAGGCGTCTTCCTGAAGGACCTGCGAGTGGATTTGCATGATTGCACGAATCTGGTTGGACCGTTGATCAATCTAGATGAAGCAGCTACAAGAAAAAACGGGAGGTATGTGTGGGACAAGCCAGAGGCAAACCCAGGTCCAGTTACCCCCCAGTGTCCAGAAGACGTGTCCAAACAGAAAACCCCAGCCAACGCCAATGGAGTCCCAGCATCTAAGCTTGTTTGGAAAGATTGTAATACACCTCGTTTACCTGAAGTCACCGTTCCTTCATTGGACCAAGCACCAACAAAACCTCAGAGCACAAAAGAAGCCATTTCTACAGGCTCAACAGCTCATCATTTACAGACTGCCAGCGAGAAGGGGTCTGCTGGCACATTGACCAGGAAACGGAAGAAGAGGAGGAGGAGGAGGAGGAGGAAAAGGGCGTTGAGAGGGAGAACTAATCAAAAGAGAAAGAGCTCACAAAGCCCAGAGATACCACCAAGAAGGGCATTTGGTTTGACCCACTTTGTGAAAATCGATTTGAGCAAGGATGCTGTCCTTGTGACCAGTGTCAAAAATGAAGCACAGAGCTCAGTACAAGGCAGTGCAAGCTCTCAGCAAAAATGCAGTCAAAGTCCACACGTTTCAGTGGACGGGAATTGTCAAGCTGCACGCTCATCGGAAATTCGAGATGTCCGTGTTGTTCTGGAAGATATTTCGAAGATCTGTGAATGTGCCACTCGCACGTGGTACGTTCAAAGGAGGCTGTGTGCAAAGCTGAGCATGGGTGAAGAGGGAGAAAGCCAGTTGCTGGATTCCAAACTGGGAGCTGAGCCAAGAGCAGCTGGCGCATTGTGGAGGACTTTGCCCTGCGCTGAGCTTCACTCTTGTGCGAGCAGGCCAGCGAGGCAAAACAGGCAGACAGCTCACAGGCAGAGGGCAGGTGGTCGACAGCCGCTGAAGCAAAGCATCAAAAGGAAGGCGCCCGATGGCGAGAGAACAGAAACTGTGAACGGACTGGGCTCGGTAGCCGGTAACAACCCACCGTGTGACGCGACCCAGCGCAAACGCTCTAAGCATTTCCCAAGCTGTGCACAGGAGATGAGGGTGTGTAATGGAGAGGTGACAGGGCTGGGACCATCACAGAGTACAGTGTGTGCTGAAGGCATGCTGGCTCGTGATTGTTTTGTGTCCTCGGTGGAAGATGACAAAAGACCCGCGGCTTTCACCCCGTTTGCTAGATCCAAGCGCCTGCGTCTGGTTGTCAGTCATGGTTCCATAGACTTCGATATCTCCTCTTCGACGAGTGAGGACTCTGTCTGAGTATTACGTTGGGGTCAGAAATGATTCCACCCCACCCTCCTTACGCCCTCACCCACCTCCCCTAACCCTCATACCCCATAACGAAATATCTACAAAAAGGAGAGAGAAATTCAATTTCTAATGCTGCCCACACATACAGAGAAATAATGTTGAAATTCCTTCCTCCTGCGTCCTGTTATTGGTTAGCTCACTGGTTGAACTGTAACCATTTCCCCAGTTTGCACAATGATCTTGAGATGGTGGGGCTCTACTTAACATTGACTTTGCACTCCCAAGCATGGGACTCAGCCAAACCCAACTGGAAGCCCCAAGGGATTCTCCTATCTGGGGGCATCGCTTGTCCTCAACCAGGGCAGGAGTGATTAGAAGTGTTGTTGGCTGCATTGTAATTTGGGAGGCGGGGGGGAATCAGCCGATCTCTACTGAGGACAGCATCATCTGGGGTGCTGTTTGGACAAATAGCTAGCTTGACCGTTCAGTATCTGGATTAATGGGGGCACTTGACTGAGGTACCAGAGAGCTGAAGCTGCAAGAGTTGTGAGAGGGCAGGAGAGTCGGGGAGAAACAAATCTATATCTCTGTGCAAACTAGGAAGTGGCTGTGTCTGTCCTGCTGGTCAGTTTAGGCAGTGGGTTCTTGACTTAAGTAGTTCGCGAACTGGCAAGTTACACAGCATATAAAGAACAACTCACAAAAGTGAGATTGGTTTGAACTTTCCTGTGAGTTCTCCTTAAATAGAATTTGAAGTACTCTCTCATTTTCTCGACTCAGTCCCAGGGACAATACCTAAAGCTTCGTATAACCTCAGGATAACAACTTTTGGTGCTTATTGGTCAGCTGATGTGCTTGATATCCTTCCTCATGAGAAAAGTAAAAATGTTTTGTTTTAAAGCCAAGGTTTTCCTCCTTTTTTTTGTGTCTGTGAAGTCTACAAGCAGTTTTATGGGTTTTCTCTTTCTCGTGGTTCTAACAAGATCTGAAAATTTCACATGTATCCAAGGGTCAGTGATGTCATTCAGATTCCTGGGATCATGCAACAACCAGACAGACCATTCAGCTCTTTCCCCCATGCTGATTTTTTTGAAACAGTTGGCCCATTTAGCCCTATATCCCCATAGGTTCGCAATGTTTCCTTTTCACATACGTTTACAATGATCTTTTCAAAGTTGCAAATGAATATGCTTCCACATTCCCCTTCAGATGGTGTACACAACAATTTACTGTGTTTAAGATAAACCTCAACTCCCTCCTTACCCAGCTCTATTTGTCATGTAACATAAAGTGTGGTTTCAATAAAATGTAATTGCAAGTGTGTTGCGGAAAACACTCAGTAGTGCAGTTATAAGTTTGGATCTTTCAAGTAGGACACAGATAGTTAGAAATGTGTGTTGTTCTTGGTGTTTTGATGCAATGAGTTTAAGAATATCCCATGAAATGCAACATCAAAATGTTTTCTTCATAACATCTTGGCACTGTGTAGTAAATAGGCCCATGTCAACACTGGCTGTTGACCTTGGAATGCAGGGTGAGAATACGATATGCACGTGTGCTACCTATAGCAGTGTATATGTATGTGTTCGTGCACACATGAGTATGTGTCTGTTCATTTTTGTCTGTGTGCTCCCTCTGCTGGCCTGAGCTGGGTTTTAAAAAAAATTTCGGACTTGTCTGTACAGATTGTCATTAGCAATTAAATAAGAATGCTAAATCACTGCTATTTTGTCCATGCAGTTCAGCTGAAGAGAGTCCCATTAAAAAACAGTCAAAGAATCGAGTTAAAAGGATCAAGCTATATGTGTTAAGCCATGCATTCTTAGGCCACCTACCTGCTCTCAAAACATCTGTCTGTGTAACTAATGACTAGGACAAGTGATTTGGTGAAGCAATAAAATAAGAAATAGGAGTGTTCAGCCCTTGGAATCTGCTCCTCTATTCAGTAATATCGTAGCTCTACCTCAAAATCCATCTTCCACATATTGTTTGATTCCTTTAATAAGTAACAATTGATTGGTCTCGGTGGTGAATATACTTTGACTGAGTTTCCACTGCAGTCTCGGTTACTTCAGATCCTTTTGAACAAATCTCTCCTTGTCTCAGTCTTATCCTGAGATCGTGATACCTAATTCTATCCCTTATCTTTCTCAAATTATTCTTCGTCACTTAGTTTCCACACAGCAATTTTGATGTTTTATTTTGTTAAAAATGTTAAATAAATGCACAGTCTGTTATGCAAGTTAATCTTGTTGCATGTCTATAATAATCCAAAAGCACTGATGTGTAGGAGCAAATAATGGAATAATGACATTCGTTGCTAAAAGTAAATCTGCAGTAACACTTTTTATTTAAGGATGTAATTATAGATCTTTTCTAATTTATCTAATCAATATGGGAATATTGATCCTAGGTATTAGATTTTTTCATTTTTGGAGAATGGAATGGAATCATAGAATGGACACAGTACAGAGGAGGCCATTTTTGTGGCAGTCTCAGCAAGAGCAACTCAGCGAGTCCCACTTGCCTGCCTTTTCCAGGAACTCCTGAAATTTTTTCCACTTAAGTTAATTATTTCAACTGCTACTGCTGTGAAGGCGAAGATTGAATCCTCGTTCTCGGCGCATTCCAAATCCTAACCACTTGCCACATAAACATAATATTCCTCTTCCCACCTTTTGATTCTTTTGCAGTTCACCTTAAATTGGTGTTCTCTGGTTTCTGACCCTCTTGCCAATGAGAACTGTTTCTACCTGTCTACTGTCCAGATTCATCATGCCTTTGAACGAAAAGCTCCAGCTTCTCCCATCTATCCACAAAACTGAAGTCCCTCATCCCCAGAACCATGCTGTAAATCATTTTTCTGCATCTTCTCTAAATTTCTTCACATCTTCCTTAAACGTGTGGTCTGCAGTATAGTGTGCCTTACTCCAGTTGAGGGCCTTTCAGAAAACCAACTTCGACTGATGTAGAATTCTTCCGACACCTGCTAGTTTTGAGCACCTCATCCAACCATTTGTTCTTTTGGGAAAGTCCACATGCTCTCACACTCGCACGCTCACGCACTCGCACACGCTCACATGCACTCGCACTTGCACCCATACACTTGCATGTGCACCCTCACCCTCACACACACACACACACACTTGCACGCTAACACACTCACTCTATCGGCAAGCTGTTTAATCACCACAGCCTTGCCTCTTGCCCTTCATGACTGACATCCACATGGCCAGTTGTTTATTTTAAAAAAAATCAGGATAAAAATCACTGAATATGGATCAAGACCAATTTGGGACTGTTTATCCCATGTATTAGATTTGGCATCCTTTTGCTTTCATATCCATTGCTATTGATGTTTTTAACATTTATGTTGCGCACTTGTTGGCTTCATAATCAAGCAGTTAGCAGGCTGTGAGAGAACAAACTTATCGAACACAACCGAACATTTAAGCTAATTTCTTCTTTGTCAAGCGGCGCTGATCTTTTTCCTCTCCCTTACTGTGGCCTGCCTACACATTACTCACCATTCTATGGAGAAAATACTTTAAAAATTAGGGTCTACAAATATATTTATGAATCAATCCAGTCAGGAATTCGGGAGAAATGTCTTTATTGAGAGACTGATGTGAAAATGGAACTTGCTACTACAGGGAGCAACTGAAGCAGATTGAATTTGTCTACGTAAGTGGAAGATAGGTCAGTTCTTGTGGGAGGTACTGACTAAGGAGGTTTTCTGAATTTTTACAAGATGTACTGGAGAAATTCTCCAAGGCTGCTTGGACAGCACCTCTCAAACCCATGACCACTACCAGCTAGAAAGACAGACGAGGGCAGCAGGTACAGCAGGACACCACCAGCTGCAAGTTCCCCTCCAAGTCACTCACCATCCTGACTTGGAAATATTCCTTTACTGTCAGTGGGTCAAAATTCTGGAATTCACTCCCTAGCATGGGTCTCCCTATAGCACATGGTTTGTAGAGATTCAAGAAGGCAGCTCATCTCCATCTTCTCAAGGGCAACCAGGGATGGTTTTATTGTCACGTGTGTCGAAGTCCCGTGAAAAGCTTTGTTTACAAGCAGTGCATACAGATCATTGTAAACAAGGATGTATAGATCAAAATGACTTAGACAGAGGTACAGGTTACACTGTCCAGGGCGTGCTTTCGGCCAGATCAACGTTAGCAAGATCAATCATTATTTGAGGCTAGAGAGTCTATTCCATCAGGCTGATAACGGCTGGGAAGAAGGTATTCCTGAACCTGCTCGTGCATTGATCAGGCTTTGGTATCTTCTGCCTTACGGAAGAGATTGTAGGAGATCATTACCAGAGTGTGATTGGTCTTTGATGTTGGCAGCCTTTCAGCGGCAGCAAGCTGTGTAAGTGTAGTCTATAGATGGAAGGTTGGCTTCCGTGATAGTCTGGGCTGTGCACACCACCTTCTGTAGTTTCTTGCGGTCCTGGGCAGTGCAGTTGCTACGCCAGGCCGTTTTGCACCCGGACAGTATGTTTTCAGTGGTGCATCTGTAGAAGTAGGTGAGGGTCCTTATGGATATGCCAACTTTCCTGAGCCACCCTGTTTTAGTGCATTAAATTCTATGCAGTCACTTGTTTGGGAGAAGTGGTCATTTTTTTCTCACCAGCAAAGCTGCTACTTGAGGATGGGGGTAGGATAAAAAAACTCTATCCTCAGTTAGTTAACTGACCGGGGGGTAGTAATGTCCAAGCCAGATGTCAGTCTTTGCTTCATCTTGGAGTACAAGAGAGCATGACATGATAGAGTTTGGGGGAGGAGGGGTAAGGAGTGTGGTGAGGAAGAGAAAGTTGAGCAGGAGTTCACATCTCATTGATATAAATGGATACAAAAGAATAGATAGAAACTTTCTGCTAGTTGAGCTAGGATCTAAAAATTCGAGCTAGACGTTTTGCGGTGAAATTAGGAAACACTTCTACCTTCAAAGTATGCAGACATTTTTCTGCAAACTGTACTTACTGCTAAAACAAAAGCAAGATACTGCAGAAGATGGAAATCAAAATTGCCTCCAAATGAAAGGTGTAGACAATGGATACCCACACAGGCCCTGGTTCTACCTGTCTCTTTGAAGGGGTCTCCCTTCCACAACTCTCCCCAGTATAGTTGATGGTTAATGCTTTGTGGTCTTATCTGAAACAGGAAAAATAAAATCATGCATTCTGCTTCCAATTTCCATCTTTCTCACCTTTATGTGGTCCATCTCTCATTTTTCCCTAACTTCTGTTATCTCCATTTGCCAGGAAAGGTTGTCTGCTAGTATTCATTACAAGTTCCCAACTCCAACAAATGCATTGACTATGCCTCCTCACACAGTGCTTCATGTAAGCATCCCTGTTTCAGTTTCTCCATTGTGTCTGTGCCAATGATGTCAGCTTCCACAAGAGTGCTTCCAATATGTACTCCTTTTTCCTCAGCCAAGGATTCCTCCATTGCCCTCTCTTTCACCCCGCCCCTCCCCACCTTAAACTCTGGTGGACAGGTCCCTCAACAATGTTCACCACACTTACTGCATTTTTGCCCTCACCCCTTCCTCTCCTTCCCAGAAGTGGGAGGTAGGGTTTCTCTTGTCCATTCAACTTCGTTCCCACCAACTTTCGCATTCAAAAAGATCATCCTTCGCCATTTCCATCATCCCAGTAAGGTTTCCACCACTAAACTCATCTTCCTCCCCTCTCCCCACTCAACATCTGAAGAGATTTCTTCCGCCATGATATCCTGATCCACTCCTCTATTATTCCCAATACCTCATTTCCTTCTCATGACACCTCGTGCAATTATGGGGAAGTGTAAAATTTTCCTCGCTATCCAAGACTCCAATCACAACTTCCAGATGAGGCAGTCTTTAGCTTGCACTTTTAGTTTACT